GATTTCGGATACAGATCGATGTAGATAGATAGAGCCACTACTTTGTAGATATGGCGACTACACTGTTCGAAGCTTTCATCTGGAAGATATGAAAAGCCAGTGCCAATGATGAAGGAGAATACAAGGGCTGAAGGAGAGTCCAAAAATGCTGTTTGGTTGCTGTAGACTGTAGTTGATGGAGGCAAAGGAGACCAGTGTTACCCTAATTTTCTTTGCTTTGGTTTGTATTATTATTGGTTATACTATATGTGGTTCAAGTAATCAATAAAATATATTTTAGTTACAATTTTTTCATTGAATTTATCTTTTTTTTAAAGAATCATGTTTTATTTAATATTAAATTAAATTATTTTTCTAATTAATTTTTAATATATATATATATATATATATTTTTTTTTTTTTAAAACACAAAAGCCCTGCAGTAACCAAATTATTTGGTCAGTATTTGATAATTACCACGAATATTTAAGTTACTATTTAGTTACAAATTGTAACAGATGTGTGACAAAAATGATGTTACAAATTGTGACGTATTTATAACGTAATTTTCTGTCACTTTTTGTGTCGTTTTGTGACTATGTTTATCAAGTAAGAATTTGTAACAAAACTGACACTATTGTTTTGATCAAAAAAAAAAAAAAAAACTGACACTATTGTAATCGTCTCTATACTTGTGACATTTTTGTGACTCAATTAAATTTGTGACGACTTTGTTGTGACCTTTAAGAAATAGTCACATATTTGTCACACTACAGAGTTTGTGACGAAATATTTGTATATTGTGACTAAAAATGTTGTCACAATATCTATTTTTTCTTGTAGTGTCCAAACATTTCCTCTACAAGAGTATACGTGTGCTGATTCTCATCAAAGAACAAAATCCAGCTCATCATCTTCAATGAGAAGTCTTAATATGTCCTGCAAAATTACAAGTAACACATTTTAAGAAACAAAATAAATAAAAAAAACAACAAGAAGCAGCAGCTCAGTTCAAATCACATAGCAAACAACAACCTATCTCGTCGTAGAACAAACAATTCAATTACATTCAAATACTGTCATAGAACGTGAAAGAGATAGTAACAAACTTACATTATTGTCCATCTCATCGTACACCAAACAATCACAGCAAGCTTCTACTTCACCAAACATTATCCTCTACTACACCAAACCTGAAAAATCAGAACCAGTACCAAACCTGAAGTGTCAGAACCATTATACCAAATAAAAGATGATTCTCATAAAAGAAAAGATGATTCTCATAAAAGAAAAGATGGTTCTCATAATCAAACATAACATAGAAGACTCGAACATAACAGTAGCAAACTCCAAGTAGGATAACATAAAACTATAAGACAGAAACTCCAAGTAGAATAGTCTTTAAGCATCTCTACTTTCACAGGTAACAAACTCCAAGTACCTAACCTTCTTCTCATCACCTTTAAAGAACAAGAAGGTCTGACGATTGGCTGGTACCTGCTTGAGATGGTTGTAGCTGCTTTGTACAAAGGAGACCAATGTCTGATAGCATACATCAAGTGTAAGGCTTCCATAACTGTAATCTGGTTGCAACTAAACTCGGGGTGGCTCCCTAGCATATTGTTCTTGTCAGAAAGAACATCTGCTACAGCATGTCCTAGTTGTGCAGCCTTTGATCTTTTTATGTTACCTTTTGATCTACTAGAAGATGAGGGGCCACAGTTCTTGATTCAACTGGAGCGTCCTGAGTTGGAGGAATTTGCATATTTGTCGCATCTGTGTCTTCAGCATCACCATCATCATGATCCTGATGGTCTACGCTTTGCTGATCCAGATGGTCTTCATATTGTTAAGCAGTCCATCCTTCAGCTCCACTTATGTGAATTGATCCAAACACTTTTTCTAACAAGTCAATATTTGCTATTGGCTTCTCTTTAAGCTTTCTCGTTGTTGGCGATTTCTGAAAAAACCATACAAGAGTTGAGATTCAGAAAATTGTATACACACAAACAAATGGATCATAACCAGGCAGAACAGAGTAGCTGAATGTACCTTAAAATTTTCATTCCACCAGTCATTCGACATGTCTATAAACCCATATGGATCAAAGCCAAGGCCAGTTCTCTTGCTAATCAGCCGCTTGTATTTACTATACTGAGTCTTACAAGTAGTGTTTTTGATCCCAATTTTTTTCCAAGAATGCCTTTCCTCATAAGCATCATAGAATTTTTCAATGATGGACTGTTTCCTAGCTTCATTTACATTATGTTTTTCGTCATTTCCTTTCAGCTTCTCCTCAGTTCTTAGTTGGATAGAACCGGGTTTGTTCATCAGTCCATGCGAGAGACTTTACATATACAAATATTTAATAAGAGAACCAAACTAAACTAAAAGAAACATTCAGTTAAAAACGTACTTACTCAGTACCAGGGACAGAGGTCATTAAAATTGGAAGTTGTATCTGAAACATGTGACTGAATATGAGACAAGATCACCTGCATATATTTTAAGCATAAAGTTAACAAGAATGAGATGGAAATACATTTTCATTTGCAATTTAAGATTCACAAGCTATGAGAACAATCAAACCCATCACGAGATCTCTTGCTTAAGATTCACAAGCTATGAAATTCTACTAGTGAGATAAGCTAAGCTAAGCTAAACAAATCAGAGAACAATCAAACCCATCACGAGATCTCTTGCTTAAAATTCACAAGCTATGACACTCTACTGGTAAGATAAGAAATAGGAGAACAATCAAACCCATCAATGAACAACATCAGTGAACTAGCAAACCAAGAAAACCCGTCAATAGTATGCGAGAGATATACTTGAGAGAGAGAGGTGGAGAGATATACTTGAGATAGAGATGTGGAGAGAGAGAGAGGAGACGCGGCGGAGAGAGAGTTCAAGCTATGGCGATTTCATGGCAATTTGCTTGAGATGATGAAATCATCGTTGACGGCAAAGAGAGTTACGAGAGTGAGAAAGCAATTTGATACAATCTGCTTTAGGTTTTAGGTTTGTAATTTCAGGATTTGGTGAGCGGCAAAATCGACATTTCGATATTTTGACTGAAACCAAATCCAGCCAAATGATTCAATTCAGTTCAGTCAATTGGTTTTTGAAATTAAACCTAATTTTTCTAAAATCATTCAAATGAACCATCCAAATGAGTTCTACTTTTTGTGTCTAAACGAATAAAAAGCTCATCTTTATTTGAATGGAGAAACGAACATCGCCAATATGCTTGGTGAATTTGAGATATGAATTTGAGACAGTATTAGTTAATCTTTTGGGGCCAAAAGACAATATGCACAACTAATGAAGTTTAGATTACCTTTCATTTAACCATCCAGTTACTTTTGTGCATGATCCCAGGTTTTGTAACCTAAATGTTTACCTAGTAAGAATTGAAAAAATAATTACGCATATAGAAGGCTCCCCTTAAAAAAACAAAGAGTGGACAGTTAAAAACAAACCTAAAACAATGCTTCTCTATGGAGATTAACCATTTTATTCGGGTTCATCTTTCTCAGTCCTCTTCATTGAGCCACAAGCGCCCAAAATATCACCAATGTCTATGAATGCCTTCAGCTGTTCAAACTGATCATCTGACATCCTTTCCTTTTCACATTATAGTTACAAAGAAACATAAATGTAGAGATTGCATTCCCTCAATTAAACTAAAGCCATCTTAATGATCTAATAAGCAAAAATGGAAGAAGATAAATCCTAACTGGTTTCAAAGTTAAAAATGCAAGTTTCTCAAACGCTCTACCAGCAAGGACTCTCCCGGTTATAGAAACATTCTCATTGTTTGATTCTTCTCCGTTTCCTAGATACTTATATATCTCTTGGAGCTTATTTGTACTGTGACTTTATTGCTGCTTGTAAGCCTAAGGCTCAACACCTTGGACTCTCAGTCCTTCAACCTAATGAGCCAACTCAAAATCCTTCATCACCAAATGGAGAAGACAACCTAAAAACAATGTCTTGATAAAAAAAATTTGTTTCAGACACTTGGATCTAAGGTGGCTTTCTCCATATACCTAAAATATTCACATCTTATCCATATTGGATCTCAGCAAAAGGATAGCACAAAAGCCCAAACAAAGGACATAGCCTTGCTAAAAACGCAATAAATCGATGAGTCCATACATTTTATGTTTATTGTATAAGATATGTTAGTTATTTGGAACATACATTGATTATTTTTACTATTATTGTTGATAAAAATCTAATAAAATACTTGAAAAAATCAAATTTTATATTTTTAAAAGCTATACAATAATTAAAACAAAAAAGAAACAGATTATTTAGAATATCTAATAAATAAACTTTACTTTCAATGTTAAAAGATAAAAATATATTATAACAAATCAAAAATATAACAAATATTATATTATATTAAATTTTAAAAGTTATTTTTATCCGCGAATCCGCGGATAATCACGTAGTATATATTAAAAAATTAGCATATTTAACTAGTCTCAAATACTTTTGGATCATACTTTAGATTTTGGTTTGGTCCGGTTGTACCTGAACTCAAAAGAGCCAAGCTTTTAAATCCTGTTCAGATATATATTTGTATAACAGTTTGGATACGGTTTTAGTTTTTTTTTTTTGTTCCGGTTAAAGTTGAGGCTTCGGGTTGGGGTAAAAATGCCCAGAACTAGTTTTACTGAACAAATACTTAATTTCAAAGTTTACATTTTGGCCCCAAAGTATTACTTTTTCCTGACCATACCCCGAGTTCTTATATAACTGTTTCTTCTTTTCCACAGCGCGCAAACATTGTGTATGATCGTTTGTACTTCAATCCAAGATAAATGTTCAAAATATTAACCTTTTAATTACATTTTTATGTATCATAGTACAAACAATTACATAATATGTAGTATCAGTAGTCTACGAACCTGATCAATATATTTACATACAGATTAAAAGTTGGTATGAGTTTTCAATGGTATTAACAAAAACATACATACGAGGAAGACCACAGTTGAGTTTTAATGCTTTTAGCAGTTCCCTGGTCTGTTGTACTTTGGAGGAAGAGATGGACATTGTTCATTCATATGCGTGTAAGGTTCCATAGTATTGTAACCAGGAAGTTCCATTCTGTATTTCCCAAGTATCTGACAGTAAGGAAGCTTCACATTGTCATTGTCATTGCACCATTTAGGTAGACGACTTGCATTGTTCTCAAAGAAGTTGAGACTGTAAGCATCTTTGAGCTGCAAAAGATTGAAATATATTAACAGAGAAACAAGGTAACACGAGCTTGCGACTTATGTATTGATTCTTACCGTGAATTCTGTGACTTGAATAGAGCTAGCCAATGAGCCGAATAGGCCAGCTTCTTTGTACATTTCGAGGATGAAAGCGATGCACGAGGTTGATTTACCATCGCTGTATATCCAGTCGTCTTGTTCGGGTACAGTTAGTAATTTATCAAAAGAAGATCCACGTTTCTCTACTTCAACTAATACATCAGGAAGACCAAGACCCTGCACAATTTAAAACATTTTAGAGACAAAGGCAAGAACACAAAGAGAAGACAAAGTTTTGATACATCTGTTCCGAGACGCTTGTTCAAGGCTTCATTCCACATATTAGCAGCATACTCAGGCTGCAACTTGTTCCAAACAGTCATGAAAGAAGCAACCTGAAAGAAAAAAATCAGAGAGAAAAGCTCCAATAAGAAAGTGTGACAATTCATCAAGATTCAAGAACCAAGTTGAGAAAGCCCTACAAGATTAGCATCTATAGGAGGTGGGTAGTTTGCAGTAACGGTATCGATCCAGGCAAAAATCAAGTTGTGATAACCATATGGTTTACCCTCCATGCTCCGAGCATATTCCCAAGCAGCAGTAACGTTGAACTTAGCACGAACATCAGGACGCAAAGGTAGGAATGCAATATGAGGATTCGAGTCATCTTTGGTTTGTTCAAATTCCCACCACTGCTCCCATGGTAATATCGCTATTACATCTTCTCCCTATGATAAAAAAAACAACAAAAAAATCTTCTTGTAGTTGATAAAAAAAAAATACTCCCTTAAGTTTCATTTAAAATGTTTTTTAACATTCTTCACATAGATTAAGAAAATATATAAATTCGTATATGTTTTTAATAATTACGTTTATTTAATCAATAGAGTTTAGATAAGTAACATTATTGATAAGATCAAACATTTTAAAGTGTAATTAATATAAAGTTTAAAATATGCATATATTACACTGAAATTCTAACTTGACATTTTTAATATAACAAGAAAAATTTTGTTAAAATGACGCTTATTTATGAAAGAAATATAGTAGAGTTTAATGAACTTGTTACCTTGTCATTTTCATTACCGGACTCACCAATCCACAGCTTCCCTTGTGAGTCTCTCAAGAAGACAGCTGAATGACCAGCATAAGCCCCACTCACCCACTTCTCAAGGGTCTCAAAACCACCCCAACGTCCACGGATCTTGGATAGAACAAGTAGATCACCAGAATGGATATCATCAGTGTTGACTTTAGTGACCCATGGTTCAGGACGAGCTTCGAACTTAGCTCCCATATGCTTCTCAAGAAAAGCCATATTAGAGCTTTCACCCCAACCAGTATTGGTAAAGAGAGGAAAAACATCGCACAGTGCTTGTAGTGTTCCTAACATCCCTGCGTGCATAAGGAATATCGAAACTCCCTTTTTCTTAACCTGTTACACACAAGTACCTATCAAAACAAAGTGGATAATATGATAAAGAAACAAAAAAGATAATGAGCCAACTTACATATTCATACTCAGCTTGTCCATCCCATTCAGGGAACTCCACAGTGTGTGGCCGTGAAACGAAGTACCAAGTCCATGTCACACGATAAGGAGTTGCAAAGACGTAAAGATCCATGCAAGTCGAGCTATGTGCTTTATCCGCCTTCATAACACACAAACCAAACAAAAAAAGGAAACAACCGCTTTAGGCTTTATTCATTACAAAACAGTTCTACATCACCGACAAAACTATCATAATGGTACGTGCCTTAATGTGAAGTGTGCCTCCACCAAACTTGCTACCCGACTTGTTATGAAACTCCATATGAGCTGTGTTCTCATAGAAACATGCACCTTTCCACTTGACGGTGTTGTTACCTGCATTCGCTGTTCCAATGAAAGTAGGAAGAAGATCGGCTGCGCCGTAAAGGGAGTTGAGGATGGGCCATGAGACTTGTCTTGGCAAATGCGGAAGCACGTCGCGGGGATGTAACGCCGATTTCAATGATACGGCGGTTGAGAGAACTAGAACTAAGACGGCGGTGGCGAACAGAGAGGAAAGCGTGAAAGACGATGAGGAAGATGGAGACGCCATGTCTGTTTTGCGTTGGAGTTTCTTCACGATAAATATTTAAGCAAATTTATTTATATAACATAATATCGTTTGATAAATCCTTATGTTTCACGAAACTTTTTTTTATTTGTATTTACAATAAGTTTGATTTTCTTTGGAAGTAACAGTAATCAACATTTGTCTAAATAGCAAAACATCTTCACTTTCGGTTCTACTTTCATTTTACTTTTATAGTTTGTTTTCTCTTATTCCATATGATTTTTTATTTTATTTTGTAGTCTATCTACACATAATTAACCTTAAACTTTAGTAACTATTTTCAAAATTTGTAATTTTAATCCTTTTATTTGGCATTAGTAGTTTGTTTAATGATTTTAATATATTAAATATGATATTTTATTATTAATGAACTATCCCTTATATATTAAAAGAGAAGTATTGTAATAAATGCGTTAATACCATAATTGACACGTACCAGTCTTACAATCATTTGACAATTAATATGTTCACAAACTAATTTTTTAAAATCATTATTTAATGTGTTTATACACTTTTTAATTAATTTATTTTTCCTACATTTTTAACCTTTGTATTAATAAATTAAAACTTTCTACATAAAAAATGAATAATATCTTTATCATAAAAAAAATTACAAAATCACTAAGATTTGCATCAACTAAAATGTTGCGATAGAAATGTTTGTAGAGACTGAAAGTTTTGTACTTTGCCGAAGTTGGTCATAGTTGAGGCTTCGGTACACAATAACAACAAATAAGGTGACTGATTATGAATTAAAGAAACTGAGGTAAAAAACACCACACGTAAAGTCAGATCTTTAGTTTAATAAAATATTAACATTTTTATAAAGTTTTCATATTAGACCAAAAATTAGAAACAAAATCAAATTGGTAAAAAAAAAAATCAGAAATCAGAAAATCTTTAGAAAGAAATAAAAATTACAAAATCGATTAAAACATAATTCATGTACCAAGTGAGATATCGCTTTGTAATATATATTATTTTTATTGTTTACGGTTACAATTTGATTTTCTTCATATGAAAATGTTATTAATTTTCTAGGTTTGTTTTATTTACTTAATTTTATTTAAGAATTTAGTATCATGTGTTATTTTGAACAAACATGTTTTAAATCTTAATTAACGTTATATTCATATATTTATCATCACATTTATACATTTTTACAAAAACATACATGTACACATTTACATGAGCGACTATATAACTAAATATTCACCACAAGTGTGAATTTTAATTCTTATTGAAGTTAAATTTGTTTTTAATGTTTTCTTTCACTATCGCTCAAATTGTAGTAAAATATTTTGTGTTAATAATTTTATTTTCTTTTTTCTTCAACTATTATTTAGATTTTATTTGATTTTACATGTCTTTAGAAATTATAATAGGAAACTATTAGTTCGACATAAAAATGTCTAAATTTATATAAAATGATACCAAACAAATAACAATAGTTTTTGGTTATCATCGAAAAAAATAAAAAAACATCCAACATTTAAACCAAACAAACCAGAATAAATACATATTTAGAATGATAGTTATATTTTAGGAGATTAAAAACAAACAACGTAAAATTGAACCAATATCCACGCTAAACAAACATAATATCATTTTTATTTTAAAAGTAACAAAAATAATAATCTCATTCCGCATAAGGCGCGGATTATTACCTAGTTGTATATATTTCACAGATGAACGGTAAATTTGATATCTGTCGTAATTAACTAAGTATATACATTTTGACACAGCAAACTTTCTATTATAAAATAGAGTATCAACAATTATTGAAAAATATCGTTTTTTGCCAAATGGCTTAAAAAGAAGATCATATCATCCAAATAATATAAAATATATTAGTAACATATATAATTTTTTTTTTTGGTTAAAGTAACATATATATTTTGATATCGCATAGACTCACTAAGGTTGACAGTAGATAACAAGATAATCTAGCGTACACCATAACATATAAAAAAAAATCACGAGAATGTTCCTTTGAATGCTATCATCTAACTAGCGTACATCCTCGAAGTATGTTCTCTCGCGTATACGTCACTATAATATTCTCCCAAAAGATTTTAAAGACGCATCTGTTACGTAGGGGGTTTAAGTGGTTTGTGTCTAATCCACAACATGGCAAGCTCAGAATGTACACGTTACGTAGCATTGCTGATTAATGTTGCGTAGGCATTGATGATTAACGCTATGTCAATGGTTCCACATTATGGCAGGCAGACGTAGCACCACAAAATTCGTTTCTTCATCATGCACATATAGACGTAATTCCTTTACTAGTCAGCCAATAATACAGACGATTGTACTCAAAAAAGAGTGAACCGTAAGTGTTGAAATATGCCTTGAATCTGCGTCGGTCGATACAGGTGTCATGTACCGGTCGATACAGGTGTCATGTATCGGTCGATCTGACTGGACACGTATCGATCGATGCAAGAAATTGTGTATCAATCGATATTGTCAAATTTGAGAAAATATGGAAAGTTTCATTAAACGCTTTCTTATATATACCCTTAGGATTTTACCCTATTCTGAAAGCACGAGTTGTACTCTGAAAACTTGCCTCCATCAATAAAGTACTCTTTTTGCCCGTGGACGTAGCCGTTAGGGACGAACCACGTTAAATCTCTGTGTCTTTCTTTTCTATTCATCTATTTATTAATCTATATCTTCTCACGTCTGCCACAACAAACTGGTATCAGAGCTTCGGGTTGAATCTGGTGAGAAGATGTCTGGGATGAATATGAAGATAGACAAGTTTACTGGAAGGAACAGTTTCAGTCTCTGGCAAATCAAGATGAAGGCGTTGCTGAAGCAACAAGGTCTTTGGGCACCGTTGTCAGGGAAGAAGGTTGAAGCTGTTACTGCTGAGATGGAGGTTACTGAAGAGAAGGTGTATTCAACGATTTTGTTGTGTCTGGCAGATGAGATCATCATCGAGGTTTCTGGTGTTGATACTGCAGCTGATTTGTGGTTGAAGTTGGAGAGTCTATACATAACGAAGTCTCTGACTAAGAAGCTACTTCTGAAACAACGTCTTTCGCTCTAAGGATGCAGGAAGGTACACAACTTCAGAATCACCTTGATAGTCTAAATTCCATTATGTTGGATCTGAGGAATATTGACGTTAAGGTGGAGGATGAGGATGCGGCACTGATTCTGTTGCTATCACTGCCTAACTCCTATGAGAAATTTGTTCAATCATTCATAGGGAGTAAGGATACGGTGAGTTTGGAGGAAGTCAGGTCGGCACTTCATAGCAGGGAGTTGCGTCACAAGGCATCTAGTTCTGGTACAGATGACCAAACTTCTGGGTTGTTTGTAGGTAGTGGAAAGAACTTTGGAAAAGACAAAAGGTAGAAAGACAAAAAGTCATTTTCAAAGGGTCCTAAAGCAACTGATATTTGCCATTATTGCAAAGAGAGAGGGCATTGGAAATCAGAGTGCCCCAAGAAGAAGAAACAAGCTGGTTCCGCTGCGGTAGCCGAGGATGAAGCTAAGTCTGATGACGATATTACTCTAGTTGCTCATGGAAAAACACATTCTAGGATGTGTGGGTTCTAGACACAGGAGCGTCATATCATATGTGTCCAAGGAGGGAATGGTTCTCAGAGTATGAGGGAGTGACTGATGGCAAGATCAAGATGGCGAATGACTTTGCTTGCGATATTGCAGGAATCGGTTCCATTAAGCTCAGGACACATGAGGGTAGAATCTGTACATTGACTGGAGTTAGACATGTTCCGTCTATGTTCAAGAACTTGATCTCAGTTAGTCTTTTGGATAGCAGAGGGTTCAAGTATTCAGGTGGAGATGGAGTTTTGAATGTCTACAGAGGTTCAGCTGTGATTTTGAGAGGCTTCATTCATGGTACTCTGTATTTGCTGGACGGCTCTACAGCTTTAGGTTCAGCAAATGTTGCATCTCCAGAGGTTCGCAAGGAAGATATGGACAAGCTGTGGCATATGAGGCTTGGACATATGAGTGAGCGTGGGATGCAGATTTTATCGAAGAAAGATCTTCTTTGTGGTCATAAGACCAAGAATCTTGAGTTCTGTGAGCATTGTGTGTTTGGGAAGCTACATAGAAAGAAGTTTCCTAAGGTTGTTCACAAGACAAAAGGCACACTGGATTACATCCATTCAGATTGTTGGGGTCCCTCCAAGGTGGAGTCGCTGAAAGGTCACAGGTATTTTGTGTCCATGATTGATGATTATTCAAGGAAGACTTGGATAACATTCATGAAACATAAAAGTGAAGCTTTCAACAGCTTTAAGGAGTGGAAGATACTGGCGGAGAATCAAACGGAGAAGAAGATTAAGAGGCTTCGTACTGATAATGGTCTGGAATTCTGTTCATCAGAGTTCAATCAGTTTTGTAAGGATGCAGAGATTGCTAGGCATCATACAATCAGGCATACACCACAGCAGAATGGTGTAGCAGAGAGAATGAACCAGACATTGCTGGAGAGAGCGAGGTGCATGCTTTCAAATGCTGGTTTAGAGAAAAGGTTTTGGGGCTGAGGCAGTAAACACGACTTGTTATTTGATCAATCTGGGACCACATACTGGGATCGAGTGTCGAATACCTAATGAGGTGTGGTCAGGTAGGTCTGCTGATTACTCCATTCTGAGAGTCTTTGGTTGCACAGTCTACTATCATGTTAATGAAGGAAAGCTGGAACCAAGAGCTAAGAAGGGAGTGTTTATGGGTTATGGAGATGGTGTCAAGGGATACAGAGTTTGTCTCCTTCTGAGAAACGAGTGATCATGAGCAGGAATGTTCTGTTTGATGAGAGTTCTATGATCAAAGTTTCAGCTGAGTCTTTTTCAGAAGCAGAGCAGGGGGATTTTGACACGCAGGTGGAGCTGCAGGAAGTGCAGTCGGATGAACCGTATCGATCGATGACAGATCAACCGTGTCGATCCATGACGGGTCAGCAGTGTTGATCGACATCAGCCACTCAGTAT